TTTCAAATGAGGGAGATGAAATTTAAAATTTGAATTTAGAAGTAAGTACCTGTAGCAATGAAGAAGTGAGAGGTAATGCCTTGTGTGAAAAAATGATGGAGAGGGGCGGGTGATAAAAGTCGAGAAGAGGGAAAACGTAATAAATGGAACTGAGGGAAAGGTGCAGAACAGTGAGCCGCGGCTCAAAGCCCAATGTATGTCATTTATTATGATTAGCTTGACAGAAGCCCAAGAAATAAGCTTATTTTAATGAGCATGGCTTGTGAACAGTAATTCGTCTCTGAAGCCAGTGCTAAGCCGTTTCTGGAGATGGCTTGGTGGAAGAGTATTTATATATATATTGATGTGCTTGAGGCTACCAACCAATGGATAGGAATTTTAAATGATTAGAGGATATGTTGGCATAGATTAAAGTTTGTATAAGGAGATTATAAGGCTATGGGAGAATGTATGCATGTGTAGGAGGTTGAGTGCTAACGGAATTGAAAGTCTGGAAGTTTTAATATGGAAGTAAATCGGAAAGCTATTTTAGAACCTACAAGAAGCATAGTTTGAATTAATGTGGAGGATTAAAAATGTGCTTGCTTGGTACTATTAAACATTTAAACTACTTTTGTAGCTTCTCATATTTTTTTTAGTGATTATTATTTATAAATTTTGTTTTATTTTAATATTGTGAATTAAATTATATTATTTTAATATGACCGGTCCGACCTCGGTTCGACCTCGGTTCGACCAGTAACCCTTGACCCACTATCTCGACCGGTTTAATGTTCTGTTCAGTTTTTTGTTCCTTGCTTTTTATTAATGTCTTATTTATTATATTTTTATTATAAAAAAATTCTTAGCTTCAGAATATTTAAATTATATCAACTAATTGTCCTCTTCTTAAAAAATAAAAAAGAAAGAAAAAAAACGAAAGAAGGCTTTCGTATCAAAGGTTACGTGAAGCTTACTCGATGCAATGACCTACTTCCGAGTTAGCGTGCATCTATTTCTTTTTTTATTTAATTCTAATTTATTCATTAAACTATCCATATCTTAATGCAATTAGGCATTAAAGTGGGCTTTATGTATTTACAATAGCTGTATTTTCATGTGTATGAAAACAAAGTTACATGCATAAAGTTATTCTGCAGAGAAAGTAAAATGGTGTGGTCGAAGTATGATATATATTCCTTTCTTCAATTTTTGAAAAGTGTAGCCTCTATTATTAAACCATATGTTAAGTTATCCATGAATTCCATTAGTTGATCTACACACAAATATATATACACTACAAGGTTGAAGAGTCATAGTTTTAGCTTTCAGCCACAACTTAAATTTCAAAGACAACCAAACTCATTTCCGATCACTACAATCTCTGCTATTGCAAAACCAATCTTTGTGTGTTTCATTGGTCTTTGAATCCTTCTTGTGTTTCCGATCTTAATTTCTTTGAATTTTCTTTTCGTTCACTGTTTTCTTTCTTATCGTCCTTCTAGCCCTCCAATCACTGGTTTGTTTTTTTCTTTCATTTTTCTGTCTGTTAATTAGTAGTGTTGTTTTGTTGTTCTTTTGATTCAAAACCAAAAAAAAAAAACAAAGAAAAGAAGAGAAAAATTCTTCTTCTTCTTCAAACCCAGTTTGTGCGTTCTATTTTCTTCTTGTGTCTCCGTACCATATATTCTTCTTTTGAATTCTCATTTCTTTGTCTGTTAAAACAGTTTTTGCTGTTTTCTTCTTTTGTTAAAAACCAAAAAAATTTTGCCTCTCTACTGAATTATTGTTTCTACTCTCATCTTTGTTGATTGTTGTTGTTATTGTCCTTCGATCTCCATCCTGTTCAGAGAAAACCAAAAAAAAAAAAAAAATTGTCTTCAAATATTTTTTCTTCCTAGTCCTTTGTACGTTTTTCTCTTTATGTTTAAATTTCTCGTTTGATTTTTCTTTCCACCGTTGTTCTCATACTTCCTTTCATTTAAAAAACAAAAAAAGAAAGGCAAAACAAAAAAGGGTCGTACATTATATCAAAGGCATTATCGCAGCTTAAGCGCATAGAAATCTGTGAAAGGTAAGGATTTGTACACCATGGCACTTTTGAATTAAGTTTGCATCTTATTCACAGTCTCTAACTTTCTGCATATTTTTATTTTTCAGATCTTGCTGGTTGGTCAATCGAAGCGTACTTGAAGATTTCAATTCCTGTTTCCAGGTTAGTGTATGTATATATAGTTTTAATGGTAAATTTCATTTATTCATAGAAATTCTTGCAGCCTTCTTAAATTATAAACTAGTGTGACTTATGTATTTTTACATGGAGTAAAAAATTAACTGTGTGAGAGTGTGTGTCTTTTTTTTTTAAAAAAAAAAATTTGTGAAGAATGCGACTCTTTATATTTTTTTGTATCTCATATGAATGTTGATATTGATGTAGTTTAGCTTCCTATATCGAGAAAGGTTCTTGTTAATTTGTGTCACTATGAAAACAAGAATTACTTCGTGGTTCTTTGTTTCTATTTTTTGTTTTCTTGTTTTCAGAATAATTTTATAAAATTATTTTTAAAAACAAGTTTTGAAAATAATAAGACAAAAAAATATGTTAGATAATTATTTTAAGAAAATAATATCTGAAAAACATAGCGTTTGAAACTAAAAATATATTAAAAAATTTACATTTGACAGGCAGCAAGTAAGAAGAGAAGAAAGTTTTTCCATTTTCTCAAAACAAAATATAAAAATACAAAACAAAAAAATCTAAACATTGTTTTGGTCTTTTAGTTTTTAAAAACACAGTGCTGTTTTTTATTTTTTTAAAATAACCAATTAAGAAAAAATTACCAAACAATTTTTTTTCCAAACCAAACAATTTTTTTCCAACAATTTTTTTTTCAAAATACGAAAGCAAACAAGCCCTTAAATGCTTGTAGGTTTTTTTTTTTAATCAGTTGTTTAAGTAAATATGTAAAAGCCACAATTGAAAAAAATTTATCAGCATACCCATATCTGTTTTACTTTTAAATATTGATGTTTTATTTAAATTGACTGAAAATAAGATCTTATAATTAGAATCGGAGCTATTATTATCATTTGGTTATGTTTTATCAACATTTGAGATCTTAATGTATTTTTTTTTTGTTATCAGTTTTAAGATTAAAGAACTAAAATATACTTTTTAAAGTTAAAATGATTAAATTGAAATCTTATATAAAGTTAAATGATTAAAAATATAAGTTAGTTTTGGTTATATTCTCCATAATATTACATCTCTCTGTGCTTTTCCTACTTAGTGTTTTGAATGTAATTATCTCCAAACAAAAATTTATTCTGGCAAAAATCCATTAACATTAATTATAGTCGTTTAATTTTTTCACTTAGAGAAGCATGGTTGGTGTTAGGCATGGAGGGTCAAGCCAATTCGAAATAAAAAAATATTTAAAAATTTAAAAAATTTTAAAAATTAAATTTAGACCATCTAAATCTAATTAGGATGATATAGTTTCATCCTAATGATTGGTTACAAGTAGTGATAAGCTGGCGAAAAGAAAAAACCCAGTGAAAAAATTGGATAGAAAATCAAATTTGAACACTTCTGAAACACGTGAAAAATTGTTTACTTTGGGTTATGATATGTTAATTCCTTGTTTTACAGCAAAATAAAATGACATAAATATTTTTAAACCCACACCCGTTGACACACAGTGGCAAGCGCTGACCAAGGATAGTCAACAATTATTTTTTATGAAAATATTTTTATTAACATATGAACATTTTAACATTTACAATTCAAGCATACTACCACTTTAACTAATTTTTCTAATTTACATAAATTAGTCAACTAGTTTTTGTATTAAAGACCGAAAATGGTATGTTTAAGCAATCTTTAAGATTTACTAACCAAACTTCTTACATTTCAAAGTCAACCTTTTAAAATATTAATACTTTTACTAGTCAAAATACTTTATTTACAAGTAAATCTCTAACAAAAATTAATACTTTAATATTTAGAATTCAATTTCTCAGATTTACATGTCAACTTCACATTTTTATGAGTTAGTTTACATTGTTATTGTATCGGTTCTTCAAATTTTATAAATAGATTTATTACTCAATTTCTTAAATTTTACAAATCATTTTCCTAAATTTACAAGACCTAAGCATTCTTCACCTTATTAAGTTATAGATTTTGAGTTTTGTCTTATAAAGTTAAAACGATGACTTGTAAATTTTATAAGTTGGTCGTTTGTAAGTTGATTTCTAAGTTTTGAAAAACTAATACAAGAATCAGGCAAATTTACTTGTAAACTTACAAGTTCGACTAGTAAGCATAAGATATTGAAATATAAACATTAAAGTATTAATTTTTTTCCAGCGATTTACTTCTAAATTTAAGAAGTTCAGATTCAATTATAAATCTGCAATTTTTGATATGTAAATAATAAATTTAATATTTCAATAAAATATTTCTAGAAAAAATATTTTTTAAATAGTCAATAGTTGTCAGTGGTGAGTGAACGCAAATCAACTTATAGTTAAAAGCAAAAAGTTGATGTGAAATTTCACTAGTGAAATTAATTATAATATATCAGTCTCAAAGAATTTGACAATATTTTAACAAATTCACCAAACTTGAAAGTAAGTGTCTTATTTAAAACTTACATGCAATTTTTCCTTTAGTTATGAAATTCCAGCTAGGGAAGTCATACAAACAAAAGAAATATTAAAAAAAAAAACAGAGAGAAAAGGGAAAAAAATGAACAAGAAAACACTACTCCAAGAACATTCTCATAAGCTTGTTAAGCTGACTAAAGTTTGCAAACAGTCACATATTCCGTTTGATGTAGATTTTCCTAAGAAATTAAAAGACAACCCATCATATTATAAAACAGACCACGCATCACTAATAATAAAATATTTTTTTGTGTCTATGTTATTGAAATCCTAGAACATGGTAGGTGTAGTTGAAACATACATAGTAGTGTAGTCAGTAGTCCCTTTTTGTAATTTACTCTGCATGTTAGATGGCGCGAATAGGAGAGGACGTGGCTACCCATGTGGCCGAATCATCGGCAGATAAGGCAATGCAAGAACTCAAATACTTGTGTTGTTACAAGACCTATGTTGATGACTTCGAAGAGGAGAAGACAAGTTTGATTGCAAGAAGAAACAGAGTGCTTAAAGATATTGAAGTTGCCAGGCACCGAAACGAGAATCAGGTTGAAGATGAAGTCAAACTGTGGTTAGAAAGAGCCAATGGTCTCATAGGAGAAGACACAAAAGGAAAGAAGAAATGGTTTGGTTTGGTCACTAATTGCCCTTGGCAGTACAAGCGAGGGAAGGAGCTGGAAGGGAAGACGCAAAGGATTAAACAGCTACTGTTGGAACAGAGTAACTTCGCTCGTGTTGCTCGTTCGACTGGGCTTCCAGGCATCGAGTTCTATTCTTCTTCAAATTTTATCACTTCTGAGGATAGAAAGTTGATCTCTCAGAAGCTGAAGGAGGCATTGAATGATGACAACAAGTTTATGATTGGATTGTATGGGCTAGGTGGAACAGGGAAAACCACGATGGCAATAGAAGTAGGTGAAGATGTGGGATCAAAGTTGTTTGACAAAGTCATCTTCAATGTTGTGTCAAAGGATGCAAACTTGAAAAATATTCGGGACAACATTGCAAAACACTTAGATTTTCCTTTACCTGAAGGAAAGGATGTATCTGAACAAGCGCAAAAATTATGGAAAAGAATAGCAGAAGGTGGAGAAAAGGTACTTATAATACTAGATGACATGTGGGAAAAGCTTACACCGCAAGATATTGGGATTCCTCCGGGCCGCCATGGCAAGGGTCATTGTGCTGTTTTGCTAACCACACGTAATCAGAGAGTTTGTATAGATATGGGTTGCCATGAGATTATTGAACTCAAGGTCCTAAATGAAGAGGATGCAGTTAATCTTTTGCTATCTAATGCTGGCATGAGAATAGATGGTGCTCCCAATGGATTTAAGGATGTGGCTAGAGGTATTGTGAAGGAGTGTGGAAGTTTACCAGTGGCAATTGTAGCAGTGGCAAGTGCACTAAAGTCTAGGCCTTTATCAGAATGGCGGGATAGTTTGAAAAGACTGCAGAATCATGAGGGAATTCACGATGTTCCAGAAGATTTAAAACTGGCTTATAACTCTTTGAGATTAAGCTATGATAATCTTAGGAATGAAAATGCTCAAAAACTCTTCCTCTTGTGCTCTCTCTTCCCAGAAGATTATGAAATACCTATAGAACTTTCAACCAGGATTGCTATAGGTGTTGGCCTTTGTGGAGAAGCTAACATATACTCTGTTGCAAGAAGTCATTTTACTCCAATTAAAAATGAGCTCATAGATTCCTGTCTGTTATCAAAGGTTGATAATGAGGGTGTCAAAATGCTTGACTTGGTTCGGAAGGTAGCTCTATGGATTGGAAACAAACAGGTTCAAGTAGCCATGGATTCCAACACAACTTTAATGGAAAACATTCAATATTCATCTTGGAACATAATTGACTTTCCGAATCATTTTGATGGTAAAAAACTTGAGGTTCTTTTACTTTGGATAAATGATTCAAATTCTCCTAGAGTCAAAGTTCCTGATGCTACCTTTGAAGGGATGGAGAACCTTAAAATTTTGGCTTTAATGAGTTCGTCAGAATTGAAAATTTCAGCTGCTTCCTTATTTCAATCACCTTTGTCATTCACAAATGTTCGAACTTTGGTTATAAAGAATTTCAAGTCATTAGGAGATATATCTATTTTGGCAAATCTAAAAAACCTTGAGAGCCTTGAATTGAACAATTGTTCAATTATTGAATTGCCAAAAGAAATTAAAGGATGTCAAAAATTGAGATTGTTGGAGATGGTACAATGTTCATTTACTGGAAGAAATAATCCCTTTAAAGTGATTGGAAGTTGCTTTCAATTAGAGGAGCTATATTATGCTTCAAATCATGTGGATGCTTATTACGAGCAAATGACAACACTTCCTACATTGCAAAGGTATCACATAGATGATAGCAAATATAAAGTGGATTTTTCAATATCTGGATATTTTGATGCACGGGACTTAAGAGTATACTTCTCCAATGAAATATTTAAACTCCTTGTGGCAAAAGCAGAAGTTTTGATGTTAGGAAGAGATTATGACTACAGAGGATGGAAAAATATTGTTCCTGACATATTATCTGTCAAAGATGACAACATGAAAGATCAATTAACTAGGCTCTATTTGGATTCTATGAGTAAGATAAAGTGCTTAATCCATACAGAGAGTCTCCGACCTGGTGTGGCTATCTTCTCCAAGTTGGTTAAACTGACGCTTCATTCTATGGGTGTGACAGAACTATGCCATGGGCCTTATCCTGTTGACTTTTTGAAGCAACTAAAGAAGCTGAATTTATCTGGATGTGAAAAATTGGAAGGCACGTTATTTGATGGCAAGCTAGAGCTACGTAATCTGAAGGCCATATATTTATCTAAATGTTCAATGACATCCCTTTTTCATGCATCCACAGCACAGAGCTTAATGCAGTTAGAAAAATTGGAAATTGAAGGATGTTTGAAGTTGAAATACATAGTAGTGGAGATTATGGATGATCAGGATCCTAATCAAAAGAGTCGTGAGTCCATGTTCTCAAAATTGAAATATCTCAAGCTCATCTGTTGTTCTGAATTAGAATTTATATTGCCAATATGTTTTTGTGAAGACCTTCCACTACTAGGAAGTATGAAGATTGAAGGTTGTGAGAAACTAAAATACGTATTTGGGCAATATCCAAAGCATAGAGATTTGCACCAAATGGGGAAAGAAGCCATCCTCCAGTTGCTAGAAGTATTGACAATTTATGAGGTACCGAATTTCATCAACATATATGCAGAATGTTATCTCCCACGGCCTTGTTCTGATGAAGTTCAAAAGTCATCTCCAAGTGCAAAAGTAGACAGCAGTAGCAGTCTATCAAGAGGTCATCTTTGTTGCTTTTGGACAAAATCAAAAGCCTCAACTATACGTCACACTTCTGCTCCCATGAACACTCAATCAAACCATAATCAGGTAATATCTGTTACTCTATTTTGTTTTAAATCTTTATTTGTAATAATGTATGAATCACCCAAATATGCTTTGCTAAACTTCTTCTTGTATATATGATGAGAATATCAATCTGTCTTAAAGTAACAAAATTAATTTTGCATTTCTCTTTTTTCCCATCTAATTGAGACACTAGGCATAGTTGGCAAAAACCAAAAAATTCGCTCAAATATATGCTGCAAATTACTTGCATGTTTTTTTTTGGCACATTATATTTACACTGCTTTCGGTCTTCCTCTGTACGCTACCCACCCGAAAATTTGTCTGCTTATAAATTACTGATTGTAGAAGAACTTAATTTTTGTTGGGAAAATTGGGGGAAGGACCCAAAAAAAGTAATATTTGCTAAAAAAAGATCTGATTATAAGAAGCAAATACTAAAATATAAATTTAAAATATAATAAATTATCCCTAAGTCCCTAACAATCCTTAATTTAAACTAAAATTTTTAATAATCCTTTTCTCATCAATATTTGAAACGAAATTTATTAAAATCAGTCAAAATCATTTATATTAATCTATCTAAAATATCTTATATATCTAAACACACAATGAAGTAAAATCATTCATCTACATGAATTGTGCTATCAATAGTTAATTTTTAAGTTGCAATTGAAAGCCCTCTTTTTTTTGCTCCCAAATATCTCTTTCTTGACTTATTTTTTATAAATCGTTTTACCATATTTTTTTTATATATATTTAAATTTAAATAGATATATTTTAATTAATTTTAATAAATAGAATTAGAACTTTTATAAATATTTTTACCAATTTCAATTTTTGAAAATAGAAACTAATTAATTAAATAACATTATTAATATTTATTTTTACCTAAAATTTTCCATTCCCTTAATTTTAAAAGGGAGAATCCCAAAGAATTACCTTTGAATTTTAAAATTCTAAATCGGTCATGTTTGCTACACTTTAATAGCAATTGATAACATTGGAGAAGTAAATGACAACATATTTTTGTAGTCATTTTTTATTTCAGATTTTAAAATTTTAGAGATATTTCTTAGAATTTTTTCATTTTTAAATGTTTTTTATTACCATTTACTTTAATACAAACATACCAAGATCGAGAAAAAGCAAAAGAAAAAGATTATGAAAATTGATGACAAATAAGAAATAGTGTGCAGATAAAAATTATAGCTATGAAAAACTTTATGAGTAATATTTGATCAATTTGATTTCTACATTATTTTTATGCCACCATATATCTCCCTAAAAAATCATATGAAACCAACTTACGGAGCTCATTTTTTCTTCTGATTCGTTGATTTATGTTGAAAGTGATACAATTTTACTTTGAATCCAATATTGTTAAAATATGAAATTTGTTGTTATGTATTATAGGAGTTGATCCCTGAAACACGGAGGGAGCGTATGTGAGATGTGGTTAAACAAAATTTAAGAATTTAGTTAGGAATAGTTTATTATTTTTGAAATTACAGTTTTATATTTGATCCTTATAAATGATTACAAATTTTAATATCTCTTTAATAAATATTATTTTTTGTAGGTTGTTTTCTTTAATTTTCCCCAATTTGTTTATATGTAGTAGATCTTTCTTGTATTATTAGAAAAGTTTGAACCTTAAACCTGTACCATAACTTGTACCATTCATTTTCAATTTATGAAAGACGACGAATCCTCACATGTTTGTATGGAATACAGGCATTAAAGGTGAAATATGTTGTCAACAGAGCTCATGGTCTTTTCACGCCACCATTATACCCATATAGAAGTTTGAGAAGCATAAAGATAAATGGATTTTCTGAGTTAAAGTCACTCTTTACAATCCATTGCCTCATCATTGAAATTGCTGGAAAGTTGGCAGTTGAAAATTGTGATGCACTAGAGCACATAGTAACAGATGAGGAGCATGGTCATGATCGTGGGAATGTTAACTCTATTTTCCCAAACTTACGGAAGGTTCGTGTCTATGGCTGTAGCCACTTGGAATACCTTTTCCCAGCTTTTTATTCAAAAGACTTGAAACATTTAGAATCTGTGAGGATCACCAAGGCTGGAATGTTGACACGTGTCTTTGGGGAATGCCGTGCTGATGAGAATCTTAATGTTCAGGTTGATATTAATCTCCCAGCTCTGAAAAGGCTAGACCTTGATGATTTACCAAATATGGTTGGCATTTGTGCTAAAAACTATTCTGTGAAGGAACTATATCTGGGAGATATTAGGTTGAATGAATGCCCACAACTTCCTTTGAAAACTTTGATGGACTTATTGGTTGACGGGCATAAAAGACAAGAAGATCTGTCAAGGAGAAAGGTAAACCTCTTTCTGACTTCTTTTTCCAGTTAATTTATGATTGATCAACTTAGGAAATCATTAATACTGACATATCTTAATGAGACCCACAGGTATTACCTCTTGAGAAGAAAGGTAAATCACTTTCCAACAAGAAGGAACTGCCCAAGTTTGAAGATATTGGTGTGGAGCAAAAAATTCACATGAGCTTTCAAAATCTTTCCGAGCTAAAAATCCAGGGATGCAAACATTTGAAATTTATCTTCTGTGCATCTACCTCAAGATGGCTGGAAAAACTGAAAAGGTTACGGGTATCTGAGTGTGAAGAGCTAGTGAGCATTATGGAGGATGAAGAGAATCACAAAAATCCTATGACTCCGCATCAAGTATGTTTCCCCGAGCTACGTGGAATAACAGTGAAGCATTGCAAAAGTTTGAAATGCCTTTTTTCTGAATCAAGTGGTAAGCTTCCACGACTTTTGTATGTGAATATAGAAGATGTCCCCCAGCTTGGGCAAGTATTTGGATGGAAGCAGGGAGAGGGACGGAAGCTGGTGTTGGAGAATGTGCTTCCAAAACTAGTTGCAATAAGACTAGTAAAACTGCCAACTCTTCATACTATCTGTGATGGAATTGATTTTCAAACCGTGATAATCCGTCATGTGCGTCAATGTCCTGCTGTTTCTTTAAGTTCAGCTAACGATAGCTCTGATGAACGTAAGTATTCACATAAGTAATTCATTACAACTGCCAATTGCTACGATTTATTCTCATAACGATGGAATTGTTTTACTTTGGCAGTACTTGAATTAGCATTTCGAACAATCCCCGATGAAGACCAGTTCTACGCGTTCGATTTGTCGGACTGGGCTTATGAGGTTAGTATCAAACTCATTAATGCGGCTTAATCAGGTTAAAGAGATGGGGGGGGGGGGGAAGGGAGATGAGAAATGATAATTTTCACACCAAGATTAACTAATAATCAAATTGACCAACACAAGAATGAATATTTCCCTGGCTACTAAATTGGCAGAAATTTCCATGCATCCACCGCTTTGGGCTAAGATCACAATCTTTATCAATGACTTCAACTTACTACGTTCTTTGTATTCCTGTTACGAGGAATTAGAGGAAGCTTTGTGGAGAGACATAACAGCAGTCAACATCATAACAGAACAAGTGTTTGTGTTGCCAAGCCGACACATCCTCTCTTGCTTATTGTCTCCTTCCTTTGTTTCAAGCTTTAGTTTGATTTGTAATGTTTAATTATTAGAGACTTCAACTCATTTCATATTTTCTTAAATGTTTAAGTTTGTGATTGTTTAGGGTGAACAGTCAGTCGAGGATGGAGAGGCATCCAAGGTTATTGAAGAAGACTCCACAGGACACAAGCGGACCAGTATTTCTCCAAATTTGTCGGAGGTATAAGCATGATGCTTCTGTTGAGAAAATAGAGAAAAAGGGAGAATATCAATACCTACAAATGATTAGCTTGCTTACTATTGCACAGAGCATGATCCATATAGAGTGCACACACCTAATCATACAAATGGATAAGAATGGAATACATGTACGTGTCAAGCGATTATATCAGTTGTTAAAGAAAATATCAAAGCCCTCTAGAAGATTTAGGCTTGTGATGTTTGGGTTTGATACTGCCGGGCTTAGTAGATTAACCATTTTGGACCAAATACTTGTGCTTTTCTAAAAAACTTCACTGTAATAAATTAAAACAATGTCATAAACTTCTTAACATCTCATTTCTCAACAAATACTTTCACTTGTATTTTCATTTAACAGTTCTCAGTTATGCAGCAATGCAGAAGTAGAAAGGGTTTAATAGTAATGATATTGTTTTTCATTTTATATAGGAGTTTGCAAGAGCGTCTCATGTACCCTTTAGGATCAAAGTTGATGTTGATAGTAAACTAATATATCTTCTATTATTTTTCAGATCGAAGAAGAGGGATCATCACAAGAAGACATGAAAAAAGACTCAACAATGCTCCAACAGAATATCATTTTACAAAATTTTGAAAATGTATGCATATCATACTTTTCTATAACCAAGCACACTTGAGAATTAACAATTGATTTCTCTCTTACCTCATTGTTCTATTCATTTGTTCCAAATAAATCAAGTTTTTATTTTATTTTCAGTGCTAATTAGATTTATTATGGTTATTAATACCATGAAAACTCAGTTTACCTTCTTTTTGTATCTTTTGTGATTGACTGTTTAGAGCGAAGAGGCACCCAAGGAGGCTGTTGAAAAAGACTCCATAGTAAAGAAGCAAAAAAGTAGCTCACCAAACTTGACAGAGGTACAAACATATGCTTCATTATAATGAAACAGCCTCCTCAACCAAGAAAAGTTTCTCTCACACTAAATGTGTGATATGCTTGTTAATGAATTGAACTTCTCTGGTAACTCACCTCAACAAAAATTTATAATAGAGCAGCAACAACTTCATCATCTGATTCAAATACTTTGAGACTCATATTCCTTAACAAATGTTTCCACTTGTATTTTCACTGAGCTTTTTCCTTAATTAATAAATGCCTTTCTTCTTGATTAATTGAACATATTTAGAAATTTATTCACATTTTATGGGCTACACAGAATACAAAGACATCAACAAATGAAATTGTTGAAGAACTACTTTCTGCTTCAAGTACAGCAGCAACTACATCACCAAAGTCCGATAGGGCACTTGGGGTCTTTTCTCAAAAAAATGCTTTCGCACTTGTATATATTTATTGAGCATTTTTTAAGCATGCAGTAATGTGGAAGCGGAAAAGTGTTAATGGTGATGTTTGTTTTATATAAAAGAGTTAGTAGGAGCCTCTCGTACTTGTTTTTCAAAGTTGACGCCGTCGGTAAACTAATTAAAACAGATTTGAGAAACCAATATAATATTTTCTTTCTACTAACATATTGGAACTCATTCAGAGCTAACAATCTTAAATCTAAGCAGATCAGCTCGTACATAAATGCATGCTAGTTTCATATGTTTCTGCTTTTGATATATCACCTCTTGCTCATTTATTCCTTTGCTTAGGAGTCATGTGAAAAGGAATCAAAGAGGCATCAAGAAGCACTTGGAGAACATATAAGTCTTCATGAAGGTCCTCGAAGAGTTAAAGAAGCTACCAATGATCTCTTCCCCAAAGAAACGACTCAGAAAGTTGCGTTGGCAATTCCACCTACTGCTACTACAGAAATGACCTCTCCGCCGGTAAATAATTACTCTTTATTTCCGTTCCCCCTCTATTGATTTTATCAATAGTGTAACTTTATTGATTTTCATTGAGATTAATTTTTTCTGGCTTGATGGTCTTAGGACCCTTCAATCTCTACTCCCGAGAAGCCTCAAATAACAAGTTCAACTACTCACACTGAACCAAAGAGCTCACAATCAGACCTATTTGATATTTCTATACCGACTGAATGCGCACAAGCAAGCCTTTAGTAGATTCATTATAGCTTCGTTTTTAATTCAATACCTACATTTGTATATATGAACAAACTTTTAAATATGCAACTGATGAATGGTATTTGCTTCTTCTGATTCACTCCAGGTTGAAATCACGGTCAATCGTGAGGCTTCGACTGACGAGGAAAAGGTTAAGTTAGAGCAGAAGAAGTCTCAAATATTTGAAGAACATGATCTGATGAGGTTATTCCAATTGATGAAAGAAGGTGCTGATATGGAAGTTGACACGCCTTATTTATCTAAAATCATTGCTGATCTTCAAGATAATAAAGAGTTGAGTAAGGCCCTTGCTGACTTGGAAGGCTCATTGAAGACGAGTTTGAATGAAATAGCTAGCTCTAAAGAAAGCAGAGTTCGCCTTGAGAATGCTCTCAACATCTTGTTCTCTCATTGTTCTGAAGATGGACCTCCCTCTCATGGCCTTCAAGACACAATTGATTCTCTGCAACAAGAAATCCAAACTATTCTTTCTTCCTACAGTCAAGCCCGTGCCTCCATCGACAGATTGGCCAAGCTTGAACAAAAAGAAAAGCTTATGATTGAACAACGCTCAGAACGAGAGAAAGTAGCCAAAACTCTTCTATCTGACATTGACAACACCAAGAATTCTATTGCAGAGGCTAAGAATTCTGTGTCTGAGGCTCAATTGAAGGAAGCTGAGTTGAAGGAGCAGATCTCTAGGTTACAAGCTGAAGTGCTTAGCAAAGAAAAAGAGATCCAAGAGTGTGAGGCCAAACTATTGTCTCTTCAAAAACAAGAGAAGGAGAGTGTTTCTGACACCATAGGGTTCACAACGGAGTTTCTGGCAATGGAGAAAGAGCGGTCTCACATGGTGGAAGACCAAATAAAAGAAAGACAGAAACTGAAAGACATGGAAGCTAGGTGGTCTTCTTGTCTATCCGATTTGAAGAAAGCCACAATGCTGCTTGGAGTCCATCTCAAGCAAAAGCTTTGACTGTTGAATATTGTCATCGAAGAATTAATTAGCTAATAGTTCGATTAGATCTAAGCTTCGAGGCACTGTTTTGAGCAACGAGAAGCACCGAGTAGCAAAAACAAGGAAAAAACAGAGCTTCTAAATCTAAAATTTTCTGTAGGCCCGCATTGTGTGCAACTTTCCAATGAACAATGATTAAACAACATAATTTAAAAAAATCAATATATATTTATTACAAATAACTAATTTATTTAATGTTTTAAGTTAGTTATTTAACTCTTATATAAAAAAAATTAGATATAGTATTATATTATATTCATATTTTGATATTTTAGTCCTTTTAAATAATTATCATTTTCGGGATCTTTCTCAATAAATTTTATTTTCTGCAAGTCCTTCCTTCTAATTCTCCTTTATTTTATACTTGTGCAAATTATTTCCAAGCACACTCCTAGCAAAACACTTGATGGCATATTAGTACAGAATATGTTAATATTATTTCCAAAAGTGTTTCATATATAAATCTATGTATATATATACAAAATTGCCTTGCATAAACTCAGTTCTACAATTATTAGACAAAGGTTATACAGTGAATTTTGTCATCATCTCCTTTGATGAGTTCACAGAAAAGCACATATGTTATGGTGCAGAATGCAAATAATAATCCCACCAAAAGCAACCCCGCATTCATATATATGTTTTAATTCGGAAGATTTGCTTAATGTAAACAGATTTGTATATCTCTGAAAGACTTAAAGGTGAATCCTCTTTTTAGTGAGAATTATACAAAGTATTTAAGTGAGACAAAGAGATATACTTGTAGTTTAATTTCTGAAATTTAGATTTTAAAAAATGTTTTTCAAGAGAGAAAAAGTAACGCGCGGAATAGAAGTATGCGGGATTCCATCTCGTTTTAGTAATGTCCTATTTATTACTCCTCCGATCTTTAATATAAGACCTAATTGGTGAGTTGGTTTTGGTCTTAAATATAAGACTTATTTCTCATATAAATCAGTTTTTTCTAAATTACCCCTATGGATACTCCCTTAACCATAATCAAATAAAAGAGGAAGATGGGGTATTAAGAAAGATGATTATGGTATTTTAGAAAAAATGTGTCACATTTCTTATAATTAACTAACTTACCCAACTTTCTTAATTTAATCAAATTAGTTAAATGAGTCTTTTATTAATGATCGGAAAAGTATATTTTTATTATAAAAAAATTCTTAGCTTCAGAATATTTAAATTACATCAACTAATTGTCCTCTTCTTAAAACATCAAAAGGGGGGGGGGGGAGAAAAACGAAAGGAGGCTTTCAGATCAAACGCTACGTGAAGCTTACTCGATGCAATGACCTCCTTCCGAGTTAGCGTGCATCTTTTTTGTTTTTTGTTTTTAATTGTAATTCTAATTTATTCATTAAACTATCTATATCTTAATGAAATTACTCATTAAAGTGGGCTTCATGTATTTACAATAGCTGTATTTTCATGTGTATGAAAGCAAAGTTAAATGCATAAAGTTATTCTAATTCTGCAGAGAAAGTAAAATGGTGTGGTAGAAATATGATATATATTCCTTTCTTAAGTTTTTGAAAAGTGTAGCCTCTATTATTAGACCATATGTTAAGTTATCCATAGATTCCATTAGTTGATCTACACACAAATATATATATACAAGGTTGAAGAGTCATAGTTTTAGCTTTCTGCCACAATTTAAATTTCAAAGACAACCAAACTCATTTCCGATCACTATATCTCTGCTATTGCAAAACCAATCTTTGTGTGTTTCATTTGTTTTTGCTTTAAATATATCACTTGTCGCTTGTTTATTCCTTTGCGTAGGAGTTATGTGAAAACGAATTAAAGAGCGATCAAGAAGCACGTGGAGAAGGTACACGTCTTATTGAAGATTAGTCTGAACGAAAGAGCTAGCTCTGAAGAAAGCAGACTTCGCCTTGAGAATGCTCCCAATATCTCGTCCTTTCATTGTTCTCAAGATGGACCTTCCTCTCATGTCACAACTGATTCTCTTTAACAAGAAAGCCAAACTACTCTTTGTTCATTCAACCAAGCCTGTGCCACCATTGACAGATTCGCCAAGCTTGAACAAAAGGAGAAGCTCATGGTTGAACAATGCTCAGAACGAGAGAAAGTAGCCAAAACTCTTTTATCTGACACTGACAACACCAAGAATTCTATTGCAGAGGCTAGGAATTCTGTGACTGAGGCTCAATTAAAGGAAGCTGAGTTGAAGAAGGAGCTCTCTAAGTTAGAAGCTGGAGTGCATGGCAAAGAAAAAGAGATAAAAGAATGTGAGGCCAAACTGTTATCTCTACAAGCTGGAGAGTGTTTCTGACACCATAGGGTTCACAAGGGAGTTTCTGGCAATGCAGAAATAGAGGTCTCACATGGTGGAAAACCAGATAAAAGCAAAGCAACAACAAGACATTGACGCTATGTGGTCTTCTTGTCAATCCAATTTGAAGAAAGCCACAACGCTGCTTGGAGTCCATCTCAAGCAAAAGCTTTGACCGTTGACTATTGTCATTTGAATTTCCTCAGGACTTAATAAAGTATTTAGATTAGTGTAGTCAGATTTATTTGTTGGGTTGTATCATTGTGGTGATCTTCACTGTATGTTGAAGAACAAAGGAAAAAGGAAAAAAAGAATAGGTCGTGAGGTTAGTAATTGTTGAAGACCAATTATTGTGCATTTGATTGGATCAGAGTGGAATTTTTCTGGACTGGGTCCCGTGCTTTGCATCTCTCACGTTGAGGGAGTTTTCCACGTTAAAAAATTGTGTATTCTTTCTTTGTTTTTTTTTTTTTTTGTGTGTTAATCCATTGAGAAACGAAGCTGATAGTGCGATTAGGTCTGAGTTTTGAGGCATGTGTGGAGCAACTAGAAGCACTAAGTTGGTGGGAAAAGAAAAGAAAAGAAAAAGAACAGAGGTTGTCCTTATCAGAAAAAAGAACAGGGAAAAAAAAACAGAGCTTGAAGACTATGAAAACCGAATTAAGCGGGAGAAGTGGGGGTGGGGTGGATTTGAGATTATGAAAACAGAAAGAGAAAGAGAGGACGGTTTTCTTCATATCGATGATTATTGATGCTTGTGCTCCATCCAACAGTTGAAAAGACTATACCTGCGTGGGGTGCTCTGTTTTTGCAGAAAAAGAATGGTCGTTGGTGGTGGTCACTCATTTTGCTCGCAACTTTCAAAAATGAAAAAATGTTATAAGATAAAAGGAAAACACTTTGTTGTTAGTGAGCCGAGCGGAGTTAGCTTAGGACTTCCAATATCTTGATTTCTTCAATATAATATAACAGTCAGTTATAAGGATTGAATTTGATCATAAATATAATGCTAACTCTAGTTTTTAATATAACACTTGCTTAACTAATTTAAGTAGATTTCAAAAATTACTTAAGTTAGTTATTTGTAATAATTATGTATTATCTTTCTTAAAATATCTTTACTAATCAAGTGTATTAGTTAGAACTATTATTATTACAAGAACTATTTTAGGAAAAAAATAAATAAATATAAAAAATAAAATGGATTTGGATATTATATTTATAACTAAATTAAAAGTCAAACTAGTTTTTATATTAAAAAACTGTAGGTAGTACCTTGATTCACTTCATCTCCCGAATTTATAATTTTGCCCCCTGAATATTCATATTGATGGTAAGAGGTTCTGATCACCATAAGGTAGTTACACGGAACATGAATAAAGAGTATAGTTTAAAAAAGTCAATACACATTTGTTACAAATAACTAATTTGCTTAATATCTCAAATTAATTATCTAGCTCTCATGTAAAAAACTAAAGATAGTATTATAATATTTATATTTCGATATCGTAATCCTTTTAAATGATAATCATTTTTGAGATCTTTCTCAATAAATCTTATTTTTTTTTGCAGGTCCTTCCTTCTAATTTTTTCTTCATTTTGTACTTGTGCAAATTTTTTCCAAGCACGCTCTTAGAAAAACACTTGATGGAATATTGTTTCAGAATAAGTTGA